CAATTGTATATAGGAGGATCTCATCCATAGAAATTGATAGATAAATGGCTTGCTCATGAGTGGTGAGAAAGAAACAAAAAGGATGCGACTGCATGTTGTATTCATCTTTCTCTCTCATTAGGGATCAGAACATCAATCCTTTTATCTCTCTGAAAAAGAACTATATCCTTTGTATCTCTTTAGGTATTTATTGCTGAAGAGGGCAGTTTTGGTTGGTTTATGATAAAATCTTCTGCTGAGATATTTTGTCCCTGAAGTTGATTAGCAGACTTTGGTGCTGAGTTCTCATTCATACATCCTTGGTATGTCAATTCCATCCAAATCTATTGGTTCCTTTTAGTTTCAGATCAGAAAATCTGATATTCAATCTCGTATGATGTATCCCTTCCCTTATTGCTCACTTTTACAGTTTACTGCAGCTTCCTGTGAATTTTGTTATCTTAGCTGAACCTGGAACGTTTGAAGAAGAATATGTGCATCTGATTTGCTACTTTATTGTGTAAACACCATCCTGGAAGGAGCGTTTCTTAATGGCCTTACCTTATGTCTCTTTTGATTAATTTAAGCCTCAGCCCTTTTTTTTTCTTTTTTTCTTTTTTTCTTTTTTTCTTTTTTTCTTGTGGGAAACTTTAAGCTTCTTGTTAGTTCTCATTTTCTTCAGTTTGGTACATAGCTCATGATAAATAATCTAACTGAAAATAATAATAATACAAATCTCAAGTTGATTGTACAACCTACTTAATAGAGTATCAAATAAATAAAAAACTATGAAACAAAATCATCGAGCTCTAGAGGTCATAGAATTATTCCCTTTCAATTACCTCACTAAGAGCACAATCTCCAATAAATTTTATTAAATCTAAAGAAGCTGTTGAAGAAAAATAACCATGAGCGGAAGAAAGTCTTGTCATCTTAGAATGATTATGCACGTCTATGCTTATTGGTAATTCAAGATAATGCTTACTTTTTTCTGCCAGAATGCAAACCAGACACTTCCAAGTGATCCGAAGGCATAGAAAACAGAAGGCCATCCAAATTTGTTTATTAACATTGGTGAAAAGGCCAAGCCTGTGACAGAACCGAGGTACATCCCGCTATATACTAAAGCAAGTGATCTGCTTCTTTCTGAAACTGGAATCCATTTTGAAAGTATGTTATTCATAGCAGGCATAGCAACACCCTGATGAGAGCAAAGCACCATCATTAGCTAAGAAATTTCTTCACTTTGGGAGCATCAAGTGAAGGAACAAAGAGTTCAAAAGAAGTTATATCTCGGAAGCTCTAAAAACGCCATGCTATGTAAATTACATTTTTAGCAATATAATCAACCAAGCCTTCCATGAACAAAGAAGGTTCAGTTAGTACACCTTTAATAGAAGAAGTATCCACATAGGGATGAACACTGTATATACATGAGACAATAACAGCTATCAGGAATGGGTATTAGAAAAATTGGTGTTCATGTAAGGAGCTTGCCAAAAAAAACTAACAAAATGAAAACGATTAAAATGCTGAACAGATGAAACCCCAGTAAACCATAGAAGTGAAATAATATAGGCCTTGAATTTTAGATTGAAGGAACCAATAAATATATAGTGTACTTGTAAAATTTCCAAGTTCAAGGAAAGAAACTATTTCCTAAAATGACAGAACGCAGATGCCACTAAATAAACCATGTCTGAGTTTTTTCACTCATTTTCTACTTGTCAGATGACCATTTTATCAGTTTATCCAAAAGCGTAGTTGATGGATAGTGGACTATAAAGTTAACAATGTATATCAAGCAAATTTATTCCCTAACACTTACCAATTACCACCACATGAGAACTTGGCCATATGAAAAAAACTTATATGTAACAGCAACGGGGACAAAGCAAAACACATATTTAATTGTCAACAACCAACGTGAAGCTTAAGACCTCTTGAAACCATTATTACTGTTAAATTAAGTATTGGGTATTGGGTTAATGAGCTGTAACCCGTAAATCGTAACCCTATTTGTATGGCTATATATATCTCTCTTATTATCTTAATAAAGAATGAATTTAGGGTTTTAATCTTTCTACATGGTATCAGAGCAAACCCTAACCCTAGCTACCACAAATTCTCACCGCCCCCTCCCCACCCCCTGCTGCCGGTTGCCCTTCCCCACTTTCCCTTTGCGTTCTGCTGCCCCCCTTTACCTTTGTGGCAAATGAAACCCTAGCTGTCTGTTTGTTGCTTGTTGTTGCCGCTGTTATTACAGTGTTGACTATTCCATTGACATTGTCTTAAAACTGATGAGAGAAAGGGTGTATATCTCACCTTGTTGAGATATTTTACTTCTATTCTTGTTTCCTTCGAGAAACGAGAATTTCACTTCTATTCTTGTTTCCTTCGAGAAACGAGAATATAGAGTTTGACTTGAGTCTTTGTGCAAACAAAATCCAGGGCTCTCTCCCTCAGGTGATATCGCCTCCGCGGCGTGAGGGCGTGACTACCTACTACTCTGTCTCTTATATTTTTCAGATCTGGTATATGTTCGGCTGTAATATCATCATCCTGCTCCTGATCTGCTCTTAGTTTATATTTCAAGAACGAATCTCTACTACTGCACTGTCTATTTGATTACTATCTGTCTACTATTGTTACGAAAAAATAACTACTATTTCAATGTCGGAAATCTCCTCATCTACTACTCCTTCTGTTGTTGCTGGTGAGACCTCTGCGCCCAAGGTAGTCTTGAGGACTACATTTAATTGAATGGTACAAACTATCTGTTCTGGGCACAAGCTTTCCGCATCTTCATTAGCACTCAGAGCAAACTCCCTCAACTTCTGGCATCTCCACCACCCACCTCAAATCCCACCTATAATTCATGGCTCTCATCTGATTATTGTGTTATGACTTAGCTTCTCAACAATATGAAAGCACAGATTAGTAGCAGCGTTATGTTTTTAACCACTGCGAAGGAGATGTGGGATAGCCTGAAGATTATGTACGGGAATGAGAAGAATGTTTCCCGAGTATTTGAGATTTATGAGTGACTGTTTGCGCTCAAACAAGGAGATAGGTCAGTTCCAGAATTCTTTGGTGAGTTGAAGGGACTGATAGACAAACTAGAGATGCATCAACCTGCAGTAGCTGATGCAGCGACGCTGTTAGGGTATCGCTATAATCTGGCAGTGTCCAAGTTTCTTTCTGGACTACACCCTAATTTACAGTCCTAGGTGAGGGGACAGATATTGGGTGGAGATATCATTCCCTCACTGACTGCTATATTCTCCAGAGTCATGCAAGTCTCTACTGGTGTTACTTCTGATACTACTGCACCGTCTCCAGCTATAATGGATCAGTCTGCCATGTTCTCTAGTCGAGGCAGAGGTCGCGATCGTGATCGTGGTCGTGATTCAGGGGGAGGACGTGGCTCCTTTGGTGGGAAACATGGTGAATCTGATAAAGGCTCACGTCAGGGTGGTCACTATGAGAGAACCAATCATATTTCTGAGAAGTGCTGGGAGAAGTTTGGTCGTTCTCAGTGGGCCCAGGTAGCTGACACCAAGTCGACTCGCTCGTCTATTTTTGCTACTACTTCTAGTGGTCTAGCTGTTACTGCTCCTACTGTTCAGATTTCTCAGGCAGATTATGAGAGGTTACGCCAGCTAGATCTCTTTCAGAATATTCATTCTGCTACTCATGTATCCTCTTCAGGTATGGATGCTTACATAGCTTCTTCACACAAACCCTGGGTACTAGATTCTAGAGCCTCATCTCATATGATAGGTATAAAGGATCACTTTGTATCTTTACGTCTTTCTGATAAGTTTCCCTCTATCCGCATTGCTGATGGTACTCTTTCTCAAGTTCGTGGTGATGGAGTAGTTCATGTTACTTTCTCTTTAAAACTAATTGATGTGTTATATGTTCCCAAATTCTCTGTTAGCCTATTATCCATTAGCAAGTTTACAAAACAAAATAACTGATGTGTTATATGTTCCCAAATTCTCTGTTAGCCTATTATCCATTAGCAAGTTTACAAAACAAAATAACTGTAAAGTCACATTCTTTCCATCTTATCATTAGCAAGTTTACAAAACAAAATAACTGTAAAGTCACATTCTTTCCATCTTATTGTGTTTTTCAGGATCTAGCAACTGGGATGACGATTGGTTCGGGACATGAGAGAAAAGGTATGTACTATTTGGACGATAGTGTACTAAAGGCTGGTCTTGTTGCATCACAGTCTGACTCTACTTTATTGTGGCACTGGCGTGTAGGTCATCCTTCACTATAAAAACTTAGATCGGTAGTTTCTGTTCAGCCATCTATTTCCTCTTTAGGTTATGAGTCGTGTGAACTGGGTAAGCATCATCATGCTACTTTTCAGAGTCGTGTCAATAAACGCAATAGCTTTGCTTTTGAGTTGGTTCATTCTGATGTCTAAGGTCCTTATCGTGTTCCCTCTATGCAAGGTTTTCAATATTTTATTATCTTTATTGATGATTTCTCTCGTATGACGTGACTTTATTTGTTAAAAGAGAGGTCACAGGTCTCGCACGTTATTAAACTCTTTTATAATGAAATAAAAACTTAGTTCTCTACTTCTGTTCGTATTCTTCGTACTGATAATGCTTTGAAATATATGAAAGGTAACGTTTCAAAATTTTATTCTCCTAATGCCATTATTCATCAGACTTTTTGCTCTCACACTTCAAAAAAAATGGAGTTACTGAGAGGAAGCATAGACATATTCTAGATGTTGCTAGAACACTGATGATATATATGAATATTCCAAAGTATTTGTGGTCTGATGTTGTTCTCACTGTTAGTTATTTGATTAATCGCATGCCTTCTTCTGTCCTTGATGGTTTAATACCATTCAATTGTCTTTATCCTAATAAAAAATAATTTTTTGTGATTCCTCGTGTCTTTAGTTCTACGTGTTTTGTTCAGGATTTAACAGCTGGTTTGGATAAGTTGTCTTCTAGATCCATCAAGTGTGTTTTTGTTGGATACTCTCGTACTCAAAAAGGGTATAGGTATTATCATCCGTCCACCAGGAAATATTTTGTGTCTGCTGATGTTAACTTTTTTGAGTCTGTCCCATATTTTTCCTCTAGTTTCACTACTATCGGTTATCCATAGGTACCACTACCTTCTTCTGTTCCTACTACTATTCCATTACCTGTTCATGTAGCTCCTACGTCAAAGCCTCTACTGACATACTCTCGCCGTCCAAAAATACATGCCCCTGACTCTGCTCTTGCTGAACCTTCATCTCCAGCTGTCGGTCCATTTCATGTTGAGACTTCTATTCCTTCTGACTTGGATATTCCTATTGCTCTTCGAAAAGGTAAACGATCTTGCACGAAATATCCTATCTTTCCTTTTGTCTCTTATGAACGTCTCAACCCATCTTTATGTCAGTTAGCCTTGTCCTTGTCCACTGTATTTATACCCAGATCACATGAGGAAACTATGTTAGTACCAGCTTGGAAGCAGGCTATGGATGAGGAAATGAGTGCACTGCTTTCTAGAGGGACTTGGGACTTGGTCTCTCTTCTTACTGGAACGACTGTGGTTGGTTGCAGATGGGTGTATACCTTGAAATATCGTCCCGATGGGTCTGTTGACCGATATAAAGCTCGTCTGGTTGCTAAAGGTTATACCCAGACATATGGCATCGACTATTTTAAAACATTTTCTCCCGTTACACGTCTCAACTCCATCAGAATACTTTTCTCTCTGGCTGTTAATATGGATTGGGCGATGCACGAACTAGATGTGAAGAATGCTTTCCTTTATGGTGATTTGGACGAGAAGGTTTATATGGAGCTAACCTCCTGGGTATGTTGCTCAGGGGGAGAATATTACCTGCAGGCTGAGGAAGGTCATCTATGGGTTAAAGCAGAGTTCTCGAGCTTGGTTTGATAAGTTCAGCAAGGTTATTTCTAGTGTTGGTTTCCAACGCTATCAGTCTGATCACTTTGTCTTTCTTCGACGCACAATAACTGGTTTAGTTATTTTAGCCGTATATGTTAATAATATTCTGCTGACTGGGAGTGACTCTGTTGTCTTAGCAGAGATTAAGGAGTATCTAAACTGTCATTTTGTCACTAAGGATATGGGAAAGCCAAAGTATTTTTTTGGGATTGAAGTTGCATATCAAAAGCATGGCCTGTTGTTGTCCCAAAGGAAGTATGTGCTAGATTTACTGTTGCATATCAAAAGCATGGCCTGTTGTTGTCCCAAAGGAAGTATGTGCTAGATTTACTAGAAGAAGCAGGTCTCTTGGAATGCAAACCTGCAAGCACTCCAATGGAGGCAAATGTTGATTTGTGACGTGATGATACCTCTCTACTAGATGATGTTGGATCGTATAGGAAACTGATTGGGAAGCTAATATATTTGACCGTTACCAGACCTGATTTTACCTTTACAGTAGGTGTACTGAGCAGATTTATGTACAAACCTAGAGAGGTTCATTAGACAACAGCTCTGAAGATTTTGGCATATGTCAAGAGTTGTCCTGGTAAGGGATTGCTATATAAGAAGTATGGGCATACTCACATTTCTGCTTTCTCTGATGTTGGCTACGCAGGAGACATGGGAGACAGAAAATTAACCTCAGGATTCTGTACTTTTGTTGGAGGTAATCTTGTGACTTGGAGAGGCAAGAAACAAGATGTAGTATCACGGTCTAGTGCAGAGGCTGAATATAGAGCAATAGCTCACACTGCTTGTGAGATGGTGTGGCTACGAAAGTTTATGACAGAACTTGGTTTTATTCAGCCTGGACCCATGCCAATGTATTGTGACAACCAGTCTGTTATTTATATTGTACAAAATCTTGTGTTTCATGAGAGGACAAAACATATTGAAGTTGACTGTAATTTTATCAGAGATGCTTGGGAGAAGAAGATAGTATCTCTCATATATACTCCATCCTCACAGTAACTTGCTGATATTCTTACCAATGCTACTTCTTCAAAGGTGTTGTCTACTATATGTGACAAGCTGGGCATGGTGGATATCTATGCTCCAGCTTGAGGGTGAGTGTTAAATTAAGTATTGGGTATTGGGTTAATGGGTTGTAACCCGTAAATCATAACCCTATTTGTATGCCTATATATATATATCTCTTATTATCTTAATAAAAAATGAATTTAGGGTTTTAATCTTTCTACAATTACCATAAGGTAATAGCTTATTTAAAAGTTTAAACCAATAGACGATGGATTTCAAGAAAATACTTAGGATTGCTGATAAAAGATAGAAAACATCATACGTTGGAAATGTTAAGAGCACATATATCCTAAAAGATAAGGTAGATGGTGCTCCATGGGAAGAGTGAAATCTTCTATTTTGCTGTAATATAGTCACTTAAAATAACATAATAAAAAACAAGAATACTATGCAGGAAGAAGCTAACCTCACCAATACCCATAAAAGCACGCATGATCAGCAAGAAAGGAAGTCCAAGCTTAGCAGCAATAGGTGTCAGAATAGTTGCAACTGACCACCAGATAACTCCAAACCCCAAAACCAGTTTGCCACCAACTCTATCTGCCCAGATACCTCCAACAATCTGCACTAAAAGATCAATATAAATAGCCAGGTTGAACATGTACAGCAGTATGATAAAAAATGATACTAACTTAGTAGACTGCAATAGCTTCATGGTAGAAACAGGGGTGGACAATCTTAGACAAGAGACAGCTTCCAACTTCTGAAAACATAGGGGTGACACCATGATCACTTTATAGATATGGGGAGGTTATTTGACAATAGGCCAAAATACAAGGCTTATCTGAAACTTTTTCAAGTATTAATTACAGTATCGTTTCCAGTCTTACATTGCTTCCACTGTCACAGAGAATAATAATATATGCTGCTAAAGGAAACTATGGGGAGTCATTATATATGTGATATTATAAATAATGAGTGAAAAAAAAGGCAGTAGCAAACATGAAGATTCATTGAGATTTGCAGTACAGAAACATCATTTCTCTAACGTTCTTGAAGAAAAGGACAATTATTCTAAAAATGAAATTATAAATAAAAGAAGAAAAATCTGGACAGACCTGAGTTAGCAAGTAACCCCAGAAGAAAGATGATTGTATCAGACCTACAGTCGCTGGATTCCAATTAAACTCTGTGGACATTGGGAGTATGGCAATGCTCATATTCACCTGAAGTCAGCACATTATATTTATCAATCAGGTTAAACCACAATAAAAAATCATGTTTGTATATTACACAGCATGATGGCGAGGAGATTGATAAAAAATAACTGGAAAGCAATCAAGCAGAATTTTAATACTGACGTACACGATCCATATTGCAGAGAAGAAATGCAAAGAAGCATAATAGTACAATCAACCAACGCTTAGGAAAATGCTGCTCCCACTGAAGAGCTTTTACATCTCTTCCAAGTAGAACTGCCTCATTAGGTACTTCTGAAGAATTTACCGAATCCAACTGTGACCCTGTGATTTCATATGGCTCTGAATTGAAGTCAACATGAGTCCTGGTTCCAAGATGATATTCTGTTTTATCGCGTAAGTTATCTGATAGGCCAAGACTATCCAACTTTCTTGGCCTTAACCACCCACTGCTTTGAGAATCTGAAGAAAGAAAGCTTACTATTTTTGTAACAGATCTTTGCTTGACAGTATCAGCACTTACACTGCCATTAGAAAAGTTCCCCCAGGAATTAGAATAAAGCCTTTCGATCTCTCCAAAGAATTTCAGTCTCTTTTTAGTAACTCTATCTATTGCTGAATTAGGTTGAAGTCGAAAAATGGCCTGCCTGACAAAATAAGGATGTCTTCTTGTAATAGAACATAAATAGAGTTCTCTATTGTATGATGAAGACCCCTCTGCTTGATATTTTTTGCCTGTAAACCCAATAACCTTTCAACTTATAAGCAAAAGGAAACAATATTTAAACCAATGACCACACGTGTTAGTAAAATAATAATAATAATCTCTAACATGCATGTGTAAAATTTCCATGACATCAAATTCTTCAAAGGAAAATACTAATCTCAAGCCACCACCATTCCTGGAGCATTTGGTGATCAATGCTCGCATATGACCAGTGTTACTCCTAAACCCTGGATTTTTTATCCAGTTCTCGTGAGTCTTTTTGCGCTGTTTCCAACTTGGATCAATAGAACCACCAACTCCAGAACTAAAGGAATATGAGATGACAAACAATAAATTGATTCTGTAACCTATTCCAGTTTATTTTACATCATTATCACTACTTAGTTTTCCTTATAATTATTTTGCAGTTTTCAAGACTCAAGGTATAAACTTTAAATCTTGGGCTTTGAACTTTGATTGTTTACTTTAATTAGAGTCGTCATCAGCTTTTTTAAGTAACACAGTTGCTTTCTAAATTATGCATGAGTACGACCTTAGGGGTTTATAAATATTTTAAAAACTGAAACTCTAGTAGTATCTAATACTAGATCTTGGGCTTTGAACTTTGATTGTTTACTTTAATTAGTATCTTACTATTCACTTTTGCGCCCCCAAATATAGAATAGTGACCCCAAGTATACCCTGACCTATTATCTACCCAACTAAGCCTGACATTTCATTTTGTGCAACGCTCAATTGAGGTGATGTAACCCTTCGCCATATGATACCACACATATCACGAATGGTAAACCTATTTCTGACCTTTTGGGTGATATAAGAAAATGGGATTTTACATAAAATTACTATCTGTGATAGGCAGCATTAACAGGGCACTTCAGTCTTTCTGACTCAGAATCTAGGAAACTTCGGAAGTTCCAAGACAATTAAGTACAACAACACTATAACAATTTCACAATTTCATTACAATAGCTTTTGTATACAGAAGATAGCATTAGTCTGTATAGGATAAATGCTGCTCTTACCATCGCTGAACACACATTTACAGGCACTTCAACAAATATATTGGCTATTAGGCATCAGACATTTTGAAGGGTCCATGTGTCCAACACTTCACAGAATCCCGAGAACTGACGCCCTCATGAATGTATCACTCGAGAGTTGGACCCTTAATTGTACTATTTCGAAGAGAGAGAAAAATCCCCTCATTAATGGAACAAGATGGCAGCTGTCCCCTTTTGACTAAGAAAACTTTAGGTAAGCAATGTCCTAGGTTTTCTTTAAGAACTTAACAGGATTGTTATTTATGTATTGAGAAAAGTGGTAAGGGTTTAGTCCCAAATTTGCTAGTAACATCATCGGAGCTATGCCAAGATTAAAGTTCCCCGCTTTGATCAAATTCAGAAAACCTAATTCCTCATATTAACAATTGTTGCAACTGATGCCCCTAATTAACCAAGTTACTAACATTATTCACTTAACAAGACTTCCAATTGTCTTTGCCAAATTCTACTAGAGATTAATGTCAACTTCTAAAAGAACAAAAGAGAGAACATTTTCATATCAAATTCGAACCTGTAGCAAGAAAAGAGCCGAAGCTTCTGCTCGAAATCACAGCTCCTGTAGCCATTGAAGAACCTCAATCCTTCCCAAACCCGAGAACAATTAAAAAAAATTCAACACAAACCCTAGAATTTGAAGCTAGGGTTTCATCGTGTAGGAGGAAGAAGAAGAGGATAGAACTGAGGATTTTTCTTGAGCACACATGGGACTGTCTCTTTGCTCTCTCCCCAAAAGCGGGAAAAATCTTGGATCACTCACTGAAATTAACGGTTCCGATATAGACACGTGGATATTGGAGTTTATTGGGATCGTTGGATCTGTGAGCTTTTTCTGGTTTCGGTGGTCCCGCGTTTGCACTAGAGTGTCCATTCGTTTGGAGGCGATTAAGGACTGATCCTGACCGTTGGATTGGGGGCCCTACGGGGAATTCTGTGGTCCTTTTCAGCGATGCGACGGTAGTATTGATGGCTGCTGTAGCAAGAGATACTATTGGGCCTTTTGGGGTAATAGATGGGCTTTAATCGTTGCCGTTCTCCCTTTAGGCCCAATTGTGGGAGGAAGAAAATCCTACAGAAGAACCAATTCAGAAAATCGTCAGGACGTCGTCTCAGGATGAGTTTTGTTTGGGATGGATTCCCATAGCTGTAGGAAATGCATTTTCAATTATAAAAAAAAAAAAAAATCTATTTTTATGAGTTTCCTGGGCTTCCCTTGTAAAAGAGCTTTTTATGTTTGGTTGGCGTTGAAATTGAGTAGAGGAAATAGGTTTTCATCATTTCTGCTATTTGTTTCACAAAATTAAAGTGGGAAACTGTGATATTTTAATTCTCAATTAATGGTTTTCCATCCCATTTCCAAGCTTAGAGCACCAAAATAGGTTTTCCCGTAGCCGTGATGTGGCACAATGTTTTACCCTTATTTTCCCTAAATCATTTTACGAACCAATCTATACATATAGCTGTACTACTTATAAAAGAGAATACATATGTCAAAACTTTTGATTGTCTTGCCCTCCAATGAAAGTTTTTGACAACAATGCTCCTTTATAAATTAAGTTAAATCAAAGAAAATAATCAATAAATATTCTTTATCACAACTACCCTCAAACAACCATGCGTATTCCACCCCTTCCGGCCCGGCCCGGCCCGGCCTCGGCCCGGGAACCCGGGCCAAGTTCGGGCTCCGGGCCGGGCCCGGGTCGGCTTTTTGGTGCCCGGCCCGGAATAGTGAATTTTTTTATTTTTTTTATTTTTTTATATGTATTATATATGTATAATATATGTATATATAAATATATGTAATATGTATAATATATGTATATATAATATATTTTTATATATGTATAATATATGTATATGTAATATATTTCTATATAAGTATAATATGTCATATGTGTGTATATATATACTCTCTCTTAGTATATAAGTATATATAAGTATACTCTCTCTTATATAAGTAAATATATGTATAAGTATATATAAGTATACTTTCTCTTATATAAGTATATACAATAATACTCTCTCTTATATATGTATAATGTATGTATGTATGTATATACTCTCTCTCTTAGTATATATGTATATATAAGTATACTCACTCTTATATATGTATACTCTCTCTTATATAAGTATATATAAGTATACACTCTCTTATATATGTATAATATATTATATATGTGTGTATATATATATACTAATATACTCTCTCTCTTAGTATATATGTATATATAAGTATACTCTCTCTTATATATGTATACTCCCTATTATATAAGTATACTCTTTTATATATGTGTGTGTGTGTATACTCTCTCTCTTAGTATATAAGTATAGTATATTACAACGGTTACTTCTTCCCCATTGGCCCAACGGGCAACGGCTACTTATGCGATTCTATCTCTCTCAAGTTATAACTTATAAATATATACAATATATTTACATATAATATATGTATATATAATATATAGTTACATAATAATTTGTAAGTATATAATAATACATAATTATATAAAATATAATAATATTAAACTAACTTTTAGCAATTTTTTATCAAAAAAAAGAAAAGAAAAGAAATTTAAAAAAACCTAGTTGGGATGTACTTATCTATTGTGATGCGATGAATTCCAAAATAAATTTATACTTGTAATTTGTAAATAATTTATTAATTATTAATAAAGAATTTATTTTTATAATTTTTTATTTATAATTTATGTCATTTTAAGTGATTAATAAAATTATTATTTTTTATTAATTTTTTTTTTATAATTTAAATAAAAATAAAAAAATTTGATAAAAAATTTTAAAAAAAAACCGGGCCGGCCCGGGTCCGACTCTGGTTTTGCCCGGCCCGGGCCCGGATTTTCGGGCCGGGCCGGCCCGGGCCGGATGGACAGGCCTACTCCCCCCCCCACCAACCACATTTAAGTTACTCAATTACTTGCAAAAGATGAAATTATTACTTTAGGAGCATGTAAGGGAGGAGAATACCAAGAGAAATTGGATGTATTACTTTCTCTCTCTATATTTCTTTCTTTACATTTAATACTTCTTTTCTTCTTCTTTTCAGACTTACAATCTGATGATTCATTTGTTGGTCTTTGTAAGGTGTTGTTGATAAAGAATAAGGAGGACGCGAATGAGGAGGTGATCGTGGCCAGAGACGGCGACGGTACTACGGATCCCTCAACTAAATCCTCATCTGCGGGCGTAATTCTAATTTTCAGTTCATCCACGCATCTTGTTTTTTTAGGGATTTAGGGTTTGAATTCGTCTCTAATTAGCAATTATGTTTGAGATTGAAGTATAAGTACACGAATTGCGATGGTTCCAGTGATTTCTTCTCGAACTAGAATTTATCTAGTATTTGACAAGTCCTACCTATATTCACTGTGAGTTTCACTAGAATTAGCTAATGAGTTTGTTCTAACTGTGATTGATTCTGTGGACAAAGTATAACATTTATTTGTTAATAAGTTGTGATCTTTACTTCATACGGTAAACTCTATTTATTTATTATGAAAAGAGACATTTTATTGAGTTTGAATTTCATCACAATCTTGAGAACAATATTATGATTTACTTAAAGCCATACTATTAAGTTTTAGCCCTAATGTAGAACATAAAGATTTTTTTTTGGTTCATTTTTGGTTCTGTAATACTTGTATTTTTTAAGATTGTTTTTAGACATTAACCTTTTGCTTTGATGGTTTAGACTTTGACAATATTACTTTTATATAATTTAAATAAAAAAGTTTCATGCTTGTTTAGTAGAATAAAAGTAGTTAAGTAGTGTTATGGCAGCATCCCTAAAAGTTAAGGAGGTTTAGTGGAATAAAATAGTTTTTTCTTCTTCTTTTTTTGGTTGGGGGTTATCTGCAAAATCCCAAAAAGTTCAATGGGGTTCTGAAATTAACCCCTCTTTATTTCCAATAAACCTTTTAGTTTCTAGAGTGTAATATATATATATATACATACAGAGATTAATGGGTATCTTTGTCAAGGAGGGGATTTCCCTCCTTGACGCCTATGTGGCACAATCCCTACCAACTCATGACGCTTATGTGGCACAATCTCTATCATTCTCATAAAGTAGGAGAGAGAATGTGAGTTGGTAGGGATTGTGCCACATAGGTGTCAAGAAGAAAAATCCCCTCCTTGACATAGGACACTCATTAATCTCATATATATATATATATATATATATATATATATATTATATTATATATATATAGTATTAGAGAGTAGACGAGAGAGAGCAGAGGGAGAGTGGCTGATTTATGTCAACTTTAAGTGGAATGTCACCAAACTTTCTAGCCGCTCATAATATATCATAATATATATATAATATATATATATATTATATATGATATACTATATACTTATATATATATATATATAATATAATATATTTATATACCTCTCATATTCTTTCATGGATCCCTAGGCAACATCAATGTGCCTAAAAAGGTTTTGGTAGATAAATTTTTGCTATCCACTTAAGTTAATCACAAGTTTTGCCGTATATATAAATATAGGTTGTGTGTGTGTGTGTGTGTGTATACTCTATATATATGAGGAAACTGGGGAAGCCCTGGGGCAGCGCTCCCCCCATGTGAGCCTTGAAGGGTATTGAAAAATAGTCGCGCCTTCTTAAAAATGCTCTCCTTCTCTCTTCGTCTCTCTCTTCTTCTCTCTCTCTCTCTTTTCTTCTCTCTCTTCTCTCTCTCTCTCTCTCGCCCCCCCCCCAACCCCTTACATCCCTCTGAAAAAATCTCTTCTCTCTCTCTCTCTCTCTCTCTCTCATGCACCCAAACCCCTTCACATCCCAACTTGCCTTGACCCTAACTCTCTCTGCTCTCTCATCTAACTCTCTCTCTCTCGCCTCTCTCTCTTCTCTCTCTCCCTCTCTCTCTCTCGACCCCCAATACCCCCTCGCGCACCAACTCTCTCTCCCTCTCCAACTATCTCGCTCTCGAACTCTCTCGAGCTCTCTCTCTCTCTCGATCCACGAGCCAACTCCGTGAGCCAACTCTGACGAATCTAACACAGGTAAAATCTCGATCTCTCTTTAACGATGGGTCTCTCGAATAATTTCCCATTTTTTGTCCTTTGATTAAAGATTTGAATCTTGAGCCCTAGCCCGATGTATTTCTTTTAATTGCCCCAACATTGTTATGGAATTGAGAGAGGACCTAGAATCGGTTTTTTAAAATATATTGCTTGTTTTTCGGTTTAATCTAACTCAATTCCAATTTGAACTAAATGTAGAATTCTTAAGAGGTTTTGTGATTACTAAACTTTGCATCAATTAGAAATAGTTTTCGAGTCCTCTCTCAGCTCACAGATAAAGATTCCAATGTCTTATTGGGTAGATAAGTTGGACATGGTTAGAGAATGATAATAGGTTGGTGGCTGGCTTAAGCCACCTAAATCCAGCCCTAAAAAATGCCCGGTTGCAGCTTCCCCGTCTAAAAAACAAAGTAAAGGTAGGACTCTAAATCTAAGTCTATTAGATGTTCAATTATGAGAAGCTATCTAGTTCATTTGGAAGCCCTTTGAAGGTCCCTCTTTGCAAACCAACCCAGTTTTCATTTATTAGCTAGCTAACCCAAAGGTCCACGCAATCGTCTTACTATTCGTAGAGTCTCTTTATATATTTGGAGTTGAGTGGGAAAAAAGAATGTTGTTATATCTGTCTTTTTAGAGTTTGGTGATATTTCTTGTAT